GGAAAGTGGACCGAGGAGTTACTCAACGTGTGATGGGCCTACAGGACAACGCCGAGGATGCCAACAGGAGAAACACCGTATACCATGACATATGGGGTTGAGGCTGTCATCTTATTGGAAGTAGGGCTCCCAACGATTCGAAGCCAAGCCTTTGAGTTAGGGAACAATGATCAGACGTTTGCCAAAGATCTTGATGTAGCTGAAGAAAGAAGAGAACTAGCATCCATCAAGTTGGTGAAGTACAAAGGAGAGATGTCAAGACAGTACCAAAGAAGGTTCGGACGAGGAATTTCTAAGTAGGAGACTTGGTGTTACGCAAAGTGGTGGGCACTGCTTGGGAACCCACCGATGGAAAACTCGGCCCCAATTGGGAAAGTCCTTACAAAGTAATCACTGTGGGGGGAACAAGAGCATATAAATTGCAAGATATGGATGGAAAATAATGTACGCTGACCCTGGAATATATCGAATTTGAAGAAATATTATCACTAAAGTTGAATTCAAGACTGTCAAAGATTTAACACGAGCCTTGCGCTTAGTCATTAGGGGTACAACCCTGAGGGGTGTAACACTCTACCCTTGGAGTAACGCCCTCAAAGTTTAACACGAGTCTTGCACTTAGTCGTTAGGGGTATGACCCCGTGGAGTGTAACACTCCACCCTTGGAGCAATGTCCTCAAAGTTTAACACGAGTCTTGTGCTCGGTCATTAGGGGTACAGTCTCGAGGGGTGTAAGACTCTGCCTTTGAAACAACGCCCTCAAAGTTTAACACGAGCCTTACGCTCGGTTGTTAGGGGTATTGCCCCGACGGGTGTAAGACTCGCTTGGAGCAACACCCTCGAAACTGAGCCTTGCGCTTGGATCATTAGGGGCACAACCCCGAGGAGTACAAGACCTAAATACTTGTGCATTTTCATGATTTTATGAGCTTGGAAGCCAAGAAACAATTCGACAGAATGAAGTAAAGTAAACATACAAACAGGAAATAGATATCATAATGAAAAAAAAAAGAAAAGAAATTTCATTAACAAAAAAAAAGGGGCTTTGCGTCCCCTAAGCATACAAACAAGAAGCAAAAGGAAGGGTACAAAAGGAGAGAAACTCTAAGCATCAACTCCACCTTGGGGGGTGCCCTGCTCATCGCCACCTCATCACTGTCAAGCCCCCCCCCCCCAAACGCCTCATAGTCTCTTCCCCAACTCCAAGAATATCATCAAGTTCAGTGTCTGGCTCGCCGAGAAGAATGATAGTGGAGCTGAGGAGAGGAAAATTGTCCTCAGTCGTGGGGGTAGGGGAGGGAAGCCAAGGAGGGTCACCGTCACTAAGTGTGATCGGTTCGTTTTGGCCTTCAATCCCCCTGCCCCTGTGGATGATCCTTCAGGGCCCGGTCCGAATTGAGGTTTACCCTTGGGATCAACCCCTACTTCTAGTTCCGCGAGGAAGTTGTGCATTGTAAATAGATCCGAACCAACGTGGACACCGGCGGCGTGTAAGGCAGTATCCCAACCTCTCTTGAAGGCCTTCTGCTTGGCTTATTCAAAGGCCGGGGCCATTTGGTCTTGGCAGTCAAGCCATACCTTCTCGCACTCCCGCCAGGTCCTTTCATGCTCCCTAGCCTTCTTGACCTCCAAGGCCTCGACTTTGGTTATTAGCTCGTTGATGATGGACTCGACTTCCTGCATTTTGACTTCGGAGGCAGAAACTCAGAGCTCGAATTCCTCCACTTTCTTGATGGCCTTGGTCTTGGCTACCTTCGTCTTCTCTAGTTCGACGGCGAAGGCATTGGGAAGAGGCTAAGGTGCATGCACATTCTCAACAAGAGGGGGTGGAGTGGAAACCTAACCCCCCTTTCCATGATGGACTTGGTATAGAAGGGCATGAGGTCTACACTCCCTATATCCCTCCTACGGAAATGGGAGTCGAAGGGGAAAGCAAAGACAAGGTCGACAAAATGGTATTTTTCCTTAAAAACTTGGATATTGGAGTCTTTCACCTCGATTTTCCTCAGCCTACGGTTGTCCCTAGCCTTGGCAGGTTCCCTATCTACTGTTCTACGTATCTTGGCCATGGATGTGTGGTTTGGAAGAAATGTAGAAGGAGGGTAAACAGGTGAAGAGAAATGGGGGAAAATGAGGTACTTACAGAGAAGATCTTCAGAAGAAGAGTTCGGGAGATTAGAGGGAAGTGCACGAGAGTTGATTGCTGAGAGAGAAGTTTGAAGATCCAAAGTTTGGAAATGGCCAAACGATCTCCTATTTATACCCATCAAAGGGAGCAGAAATCGAAAAGGCATGTCGTCATTTGGAGATTTTGAAAAAGGTGGCGCTAGACGTGCAAGTAACTGCCCCTAATAAATAGGCATGATTCGGCAAGCCACCATTCTCCTTGTGCCACCTGTCCCACGTCGCAAAGAAAATGGAGGCTGGGGGGCAGTTGACGAGACTTTAAGCAACTGAGCAGACCCCAAATTGACATGTGTGAAGGTATAGCCGTTATGGAATTCAAAAGGCGTCGAGGACTTGAAGGAGTAGAGTACACGTATTGACACCAACATTTAAGAAGACACGATAGTTCATTAATGAGATGTGAGTGACTAAGACATGGCTATTAATGAGCCCCTGCATACTCGAGACTCAAAAACAACAGTCATGATGACAAAACATTAATAGTTATTGCGCCAAGTATGATCCCTCGAAGTGCACCGAGCTGTTGTTCCCTGAACGTTGATGGCTCGGGAATAGGTGTCATGCGCCGATCAGAGAAACTTAATTGCCCCAAGGATAGCCATAAGTGCTCGACATAGCCCCGAGCACTTGTCTTATCACCGATCATTAAAGGCATGAGGATTTGAGCAGAAAACATTTATTACGCATGGGTAAGGGTGCAAATCATTAAATGTCGAGATGAGACTATTTATCCTTGCATTCATTATTAATCCAAATATAAATATTCCTCAGAAAAGTGAACAAAGGTACGCAAGACAAAACTATAAAAGAAATACACTATGCACAAGCCTCCAAACTTATATTGACTTAAGTTTCGGAGGGGATAAATCGGGTGTTCACTCGGTCCTTTTTCTAACTTTGTGGTGGTTTCAAGTTCATCATTGAGTAGATTGCTATCTCAATCTATTGTAGAAAATCTCCCGTGCAATATATATATTATATATATATATATATATATATATATATATATATATATATATATATATATATAGTAAAATTGTAGATGTTAGGGGTGTCTATGGATTGGGTTGACTCACAAGACCCTGGCCTGAAAAAATAGGTTTGGTAGTTGGCCTGTTGGAATATAGGCCCAATATGTTTTGAGAGTGGGCTTTGGGCCTGCCTCAAAGCCCAAAACTCAACCCATTAAACAACATGTAAAATTCATTAAAGTGTGACCCAAGAAACGTTCATCCAGCCCAACATTTGATAGGCCCATCTCCAAGCCCAAAACTTAGCCCATTAACCAACCCATAAAATTTATAAAAATTTGACCTAGAAACCCAGCCCAACATTTAATTGGACCGATAATTGACCATCAAAACCTAAGCCCAAATATCATTTAAGAGTGGACTTAGGCCTACCTCCAAGCCCATTATCTAACCCAAAATTGAGCCCATTAGCCACCAATAAAATTCATTAAAACCCGGCCCAAGAGCCACTCACTAGCCCATCACCCCATCCACCAACCCAAGAACCCGCTCACCCAGCCCATCTCCCCATCCTCCAACTTCTTTTGAAAATAATTTGACCATTGAAAGTTGGGAGTGACGTATTCTTCTTAAAAAGAAAAATTATTTACTTAAATATTAAGTTGAATAATCTAAAATATTATTCATTATTTTTTTATCCATTTTAACTCCGTTTAATACTAAGTTAAATTTTTTTTAAATGAAAATGTATACTTAAAAAAGACCTACCCACAAGACCCACTGAGTTACGATTAACTTATTCCTATCTGAAACCTAGCTCAGCCCACCCAATAACTCACTTAGATAATAGCTTCGACTTATCCTATCCAAGCCCAGTCCAAAATAATTTTCATAGGCCTAACCTAGCACATGAACACCCTATAAATGTAAAATATATTTTATTTTCTATGAAACGCACCTCTATTACAACAATTTTCCCTGGACAGTAATCCAGTGGTTTCTCTAGTTCGTCCCTACTTATGAAAACTGCTGTCGGCCGTTTTGAGATTTGCTGGATCGGTTAGAACACAAAAAATAGTAAATAAAACAAAATTGAGGAAATTTTTTTTAAAAAAAAAAAAAGAGCATAATATACGTTCATCTCTCATTTCTTTGTCTTCCCTTTCCTTGAAACTTGAGGTTTCCTTTTTACTTTCTTCTGCGTCTTCACTCCAGCAGTGAATCAAATGAGAATCCATCCAGTGTTCCTACTCATGCAGAACCATTGAATGTAAATTGAATGTAAAGAAGCAGCAAAGGTATTCTTATTCAGAACATTAAAAGTACCATTGAATGTATGTATGCCAACAGAAGCCCTCGAACGGAATCCTAACCTTCCACCATGGTTTCAGCCTCATAGACATTAAACTGTGGTTTCAGCTGAATAAAGTCATTCATGATAGCCTCCGCCTAATCAGAAAAATATACGATGCAGAGTAGGTAAATCAAATAAAGTCATGGTTCTTGGTTGTTCTCCCACATTTTTTTTTGTTCATTTCTAAACCACATTAAGATAAGGGAATCAGCAACAAGAGGATCAGAAAATCATGAATTGGGGAAGCAATCATATGAGAAGAAGTACGAATGTGGAAGAGGGAGAGGGAGAGTAGGAAGGGGAACAAAAGATGCATCAAAGCTAAAAATGGAAGAGAAAACAAGTATTTAACCAACAAACCTTTGCTTCTGACTGACCAAAGCTAACCTGAACTATGAACGGAAACATGTTAAATCATAGAGATCAACTCATTCAGGACATAGAAATTATGAGTGTGTTGTACATAATATACAGAGAGAGGAGTGAATCTAGAGTTTTCTAGCACGCTTCTTATGCCAGTGACATAGTTTCAGGCTACTAATGTCTAGGGTCAAAATTTGGAGATTAATGACGTACAACACAGACTGTCCTCGAAGGAACAATGCTAGTTTTGTATATGGTTCCTGAAACATAAACCAAATCAAATAAATCAGATCAGGTGAGGTGAGGGTATATGAAACATGCAAAAGAAGTAGCCAAGTTTATAAAACAACCAGATAGAAGACTTTCACCAAAACAGTTCTGGTGTCAAATTTTCTTTTAAAGCGCATTATAAAAGTTAGTAGAAAGTGCATTAAAAGAAAGTAGAGGGTCATCATAGTGATGAAATGTAACTGACAATGCCGAGCAAGTGCCAAATTTTAGTGGAACAATATTTTTTCAACAGCACATCATATCCACTTTGAAATCAAATGAAATAAGTATCATCAGCAACTGGTTGAACAACTCTCAGTTGTGAGCAGCGATGATTAGTCGCAGACACAATAATGCAAATCACAGATCATTAGCAAAATGATAACTACGTGCACTATTACAGGAATAACACCTGCCTTTCAAATCTAAGAGCATTTCCTGGTTTCCTGATTGGTTATCTGAAATAATTATCCATCCAACAAGTCCCACATCGCACTCAAATCAATGGATTCACCTTCACACTCCACAAGTGCCTGCACAAATACAGAACTCTTACTTGTAGTATGCAAAGGTAAATCAGTTGGATAAAAAGAATAACACTATAGCAGGCACCTAAGAGAGGAGCAAAAGTATGCAATTAAAGCAGCATACATGATGGGTTCCACAAGTGCATGATTACCAAAGAGATCCTATTATAATTAAGCAACTAAACAATCGATGACCTACAATCACCTAGTAATGCTTCTCCCCTGCCTATAGTTTATCCTTGTCCCAGAGACGGAAGTTATTTAGTTCAACTTCCAGAGAGGGAAGAGGATAGGGAATGTAAAACCTCATAGCACAGGTGGATTCAGGCATGCTCAACAATAACTGTGATATTGCAACTCAGACTCTTGAAACAGATTCTGAGGAGAAGGCAAATACAAAAAACCATATTATAATGACCACTATAATTGCTGGACCTACCTTTGAGCGCTGCACTTTCTCAGACAGCACCAAATAGCCTTGAAGAGGAAACCTGCAGATTATGTGTAGTCAGGTAATTCCCTTAATCTAAAAGACAGAACAAACTACTTTTCACAGCTAGAGAAGATTCTGACATAAGGTCCAATATGCTTCTCGGTTATTTCATCTTCCACAACCTCCATTTCACCATCATTACCTGCACAATCATTGAACATTTCATAAAATTTAGGTTTCCAAAAATGCATAGCCAGCATGTGACACAGAGAAAGAAGGGGGGGGGGGGGGTACAATTTTTATTATAGACTCGTGAACTTGATAAGAGGTTTTATGGTCATTCATCTGAAACCTTTGTACTTCGGTTCGGAATCATCAAGGAACCTCAGGCCTGTAAATTCAGCCTCCATACCTTCTTTGTTCATGTGGCTGTTTAATTTCTGCCATTTTCTGGGTATATGATCCTCTGTTTAGAACTGTTTTTTAGGAGATTTCACTTTATAGGCCTCCTTAAGTGGAGACTGTCCACCAATCTCATGTGCAGATAATTCCTCATGATGTGAGTTGTGCTCCCTTACAGATATGGTATCATTAGAAGATTCAGAATCTGATGACAATGTCCAAACTGGATGCTTTGTTTCTTGTTCATGAAAGCACTTTCTTACAATTAGTATGGACAACGTGATAATAAATTACAAACTAGGAAGTCACTTTAATTCCAGTAGAAATGTAACTCCAAAATTATTATGATGTACACTGCAAGACATATCAAATTTGGGACATTTGAAACGCTGCAGAGAGCCAGAAACCCAGTGAACTTGATAAAACTATTCTGCAAAGGAAGACTAGCACAACTATGTCAAAGATTGAAAATGTGCATAGAATCGGGATGCTAGAGGTGCACACAACGCGGCATAGTTTGACACCTCATGCTGCTAACCGAGGAAGGAAATATCTCGGCCAAAATGGTTGGGACAGAGGCTCTTTTGAGCTGAGTAATATGTGTAGGCCAATTACTGAAAATACACAGTGAAGTTCCAATATTGATCGAGTAACAAAAATCAATGCCTGGTATCAGGCTAACTACTTTTGGCTTTAAGAGAGTACTGCACAAATGACCAGTATGTTTGGATCCTTGGTGAGACTACATATCTTATGGGTGTGTGTCTGCACAACCAGTTGCTCCTGATGCATGAGAAACCAGTGTGTTACTGTTAAATTTACTCAAGTGTGTTACCACTATTCATGAAGGACTTGTGCATTCCCATGCACTCACATATTACACTAGTATGCTACAGCCGCCTTAAGATTATCAGTTATTATGACCACCTAAATTAAAATTATTAGGGTTTATGGTGATATTTTCTTGTAAATAGTCCTTCTAAGCAGCTTTGTACTAGACTTCGATTAATATAAAATTGTCCTTTCATTCCATCTCCTGCCCAAGAACTTAGCTTTTGCTTGGATCAACACCCTGATTTTATCGGGATGAACCTACCTTAGTACCTTAATGACGCCTCCCATTATATTGTCCAACACACATTCCCTAGGCCAATGTATCAGCAACTTCAAGGACAGACAGCATTTCCATGTAGATGAAGAGGTTGTATACAAGGACCGGTGATGAGCAAATGACATGCAGTTTCCTATTTTAAGCTTCTGATAGATTTTGTTTCAGGCTTACTCATACCCTTGATGTTTTGTGGCTACTATTTTATCCCAAAATTTGATTAGTAACTACTCACTGAGCAACATATCTCTGAATGGTGTCCTGGCCCAAAGGACCAAGGATATTAATCTATCAACTCCACAATCCAAATTCCATTCAGGATCAGTATACAACATAATCATTATTTCCTTCGATATGCAGCTCAATTTAGCATCCATTGAAATTAATGCTAAGCTGCTTGCTATGCGAGAGTTTTCAGTTTCACCTTCTATAAGCAATGTGACTGCTCATTTTCCCACAAAATTGACTAAAAAGAAGTTTAATACCTTGACTATTTCCTAAACTTGAGTGAATGGTACACAATACAATATGCCTACAGGTATCCATCAATAAAATATGACGTTCCTCATTTGTACATCCCACCAGTGTCTGAGTCATATCAAAAACAAATAGACAATCTGCCTTGATACATGTGCATCAAGCTACAGAAATACAACTGTAAACTACACAAATATGCTATATAGGTGGAAAATGGAACCTCCTTATCTCTAAGGAAAATTCATTACACACTCCAAACCAGACAACAAATAAGCATTTTCACTGCAGAGCTTCATACATGAGGTTTCGTAGTCTTCACAGACGTCTCTTTCTTTGCAACATCCCCATCAACCCCATTCCCTGCAGCATTACCAAGAAGAAATTTATTAGAACATGTGAAGGAATCTATGTTTTCATTCTAAAAAGAAAAGGAAACTGTGAAGTCAAAATCATGTCAAACTCCACTCTTTAAAGGCTTAGAGTCCATGGTTAGAATATTCTTAATATATTTATATGCAATATTTGCTTGATATTGCATATATAAGCCCTACAGTACAGTTAAATTAGCACCCACAATCTTTTTACCTTCTTTGTCTCCATTCCTCTTTTTCAAAGGTGTGAGATCTGCTTTTTACTCTTGCTGGGGGACTTTGCTTTTAGAGTATTATTAACTGGAGACTCCCCAGTGTCTTGGGAGTTGTTTTTCTCAGAAGAATGGGATGTTTCTTACTGGATTAATTTGTTGATACTCAAACTATCCTCATCCTCGCTTACAGGGTTGTCCTCTGGAGGAGACTGGGAGGCCAAACGACAATGATAGAGCTGATTGAGTTGGTGCCTGTTAAAAATTAACTTCGCGCATCAAACAAAAAAATTAGCAGATCAAGCATAAGACAACTCAATCCTTCTAGGAAAGGACAAAAATCATCACAAAAATACCAATAGCAATAGCTGATATAAAAACTTATAATATTTCAATAAACATACAGTCCATGAATAAGTTCTTTAATTCCATCAGCTCTACACATGCGAGCACTGGTATTATGTATCACGATACAGTCCAAATACAATTTCGCGACACACATGCACAAATTTTTTTGCGTGTTGCTGTAAATGCTTGAATTCCTGATCAATTTCATATATGACATTATAAAGGATTATATAGCAAAATCATCAATGCCTTTGAAGTAATGATGAGTTTTCCATATATAGCCTTTGGTAGATCTTTCTGAACCAATTCCGGAGGCTGCCAAGGTGGAAGAAACACCCCCCCCCCCCTCCCCCTCCCCCCCGAGACTGACTGCTGACTGCTGCTTGTTGTATACGATGACAGCAAGCCTACGGAGACGAGTGAGGTGGATTCCAAGCCAATAGAAGAGAAGGTTGAGGCCAAGGAGGTAGTCAAGGAAGAGAAGAAAAAGGTAGTTGAAGTTGTTGCCCCCAAAGCTGAAGATAAAAATGATGCACCTCTCGTTTGAAGCCCACATCATACTCTGTTAGTTTCTATCAATTAAATGGCGTATATGTTTCTCTATTGCCTTCAATCCATGGTACACAGGTAACCAGGATCAGTGTCTCTGAAAAACGTTCATATCTAGGGACAGACAACCTTGTCAAAGCAATTTATATCCATTGGATTTAAGCATACATTCAGAATGCATCAACGATATGGACCTCTGTTCATGTTTTTTTTTCTCACCTTCCATCCAAAATCCAATTACTGTGTTGTTTACTTTTATGATTCACTAAATTGCTTCCACAGTTGATTATAATTGAATTATAAAACCATAGAAGTCATACCAGAATCTAGAGAGTTTTTCTATTAATTTGCAGATTGGCAACAAAGTTCAACCCAGCAAATTGTTAATTTTGCTTCTAATTAGATTATTAGAATCTGACAAAAAAATAATAATAAGAGTAGGGATGCAACAGCAGAGACCTTCATGTGATCAGATGTTTAAAGAAATTCAAGGATCCGATCCACAAATTGGAAAAATGTATTCAAGAAGTCCGAAAATATGGAATGAGATGCAAGTTGCAGAGAGGGGAAACCCTTAAAGCCATAAAACGGAAACAGAAACAGAAAGATGGAACTGTCTGGGATAGGGAATGAATCAATGCAAATTGATTGGACCAGTCAATGCAAATCTCACAAACTCCATAAAACAGGGCAATGTGAAAAGAGGAATTAAAGCTCATATATTTTATTAGCAGAAATGTTCTAGCCTGAATATGGTTTATCCTTGATTCTACAAAAAGTTAGACCTTGTCTAACTTGAAAATAATGCCCCTTTACCCTTCTCAGTAACTCGACATTGACAAAGAACAAGGAGAAACAATTCGAAATTGCAAGCAACTTACAAGATCAAACAAACAATACTATAATGGAAAGAACAATTTCGTAATGATCAGTGAAAAAAGAATAAAAGTAACAATTAGTCCATAAATTCTCTCTCCAATACACAATGATACACAAAACCATACACATAAATAAAGGAAATCGTATCAAATATAAGAACCTCCAAGACAAAATGAATCATTAAATCAATGAGCCGAGAGAGAAGAACTCGATCAAAGAAGCCCGAACAAAACGATGAAGCCAAGCAAAATGAGCCAAACAATGTGAACCAACAACAGCGCCTGACCACCACCACCATTCCCAATTTCGCAATACCCTAGCTTCGCCACGCGTGTACCGGCACAGATAGCGTCGGCGCAGCCACACCAGTAGGTGACGCCGTCGACACCGCAAACTGGATCGGTCCGAAAGCACTTGACCGGGCAAGAACCAGGGTCCACCGTTCCAGGACAGAGCTCTCCATCATCGGAGGGTAATCGGATTAAATTCTCGTCCGATCGGACGGCAGGTGGGAAATTGAGGGTGATTATGAGGGTTAGAAGAACAAAAAGAGAAAATGGGGATCGCCTTGACATGATTGGCGAGCTTTCTGTTCTTTAGGGAAAGAAAAGCTCGCTGTTTTCAACTGATTGTGGAATCAATCGACCAATTCGTAAAGCGAAACCCTAATCTTTCGGTCGAATGGAGTATGGGAGAGAATTGGTTAGGGTTTTGTTGATTGAAGAAAGGAATATGAGGAGAGATTGATAGATGGATTGAGAGAGAGAAAAGGTGGGGAGAATCGAATATAGAGAAAAGCAAGGAGGGAGGGAAGGAAGGGGATGCGTTTCTTCTTTCTTGTTCAACTACCGGTTGGATAGAGCGAAAAAGAAATAACAGTTGGACGGATTCTTCAAGAATCGAAATTCGAAACTGCGTGGTGTGTGGGGCACACATACACATCCACGTACACATACGCATGCATGGTCGATTATTTTCTAGAACATTATATATCTATATTTACATTATTTCATAACCATATGCCAGCTCACAATACTATAAAGTTAAAATAAAATAATTTTGTACGTTGCCTATAAAATTTATAGAAAAATTTGAAGGTCAATTCCTTATATAAACTTTTTTAGAGATAAGTCCGTCAAGAAAATTTATTTAGTTTTAAGTTCGTTTTTTATTATTTTTACTATTGTAACTCTTTTATGTAGGAATGTTATAAATGACGTTTATGAACACAATAACCAGCTATATACATCTCCTTCATAATCGTCTTCAAATTCGGTTACAATCTTCCAAGTCACAATGTTTCTTTATCTGAAAAACAAGAAATTGACATTTACCAAACATCGCTCATATTCAAATTTTAAACACATTACAATCCATAAAATACAATTTCAATTTACTATTCCAATTTACTTTGAACTCCATCGACAAAATATTAATATTGAATATTAATATTTAACAAATAACAATATTAACATACTCAACAAAGATAATAACATGATCACTAAAAAAATAGTAACATGCTCACAAAAAAATAATAACATGATAAAAAAATAATAACAATTAGAAATTTAATTCTGTTAAAATGGACATTAACATTGTAACTAAAATTCAAGAGAACTCATATACTAGTATTAAATTAAAGTGTTATAGATTTCAATTTTGTTAATTTTTTTTTGTTACGCAAAACAATCAAGTATTCATTGATTGTGTTACTATAAAAAAAGTTCATGTTATTGTACTTGAACCGAAAAATGAAATTCAGAATTTCGATGTCTTGATGTTCACAATTGGTGTCGAGTATCATAATTCAACTGTCGAGGTGTGTTATTATTCGTCATTTTGTAAAATTTTAATTTGTGGATCGTATTTTCATTAAAATTATTCAAAAATTGATGTTACTGTAATAAAATCATTGTCTTATATTTTGTAAAATTATTTGTGTTATTGAGCACAAAATTTTGATGTTACTAAAAAAATTAAAGTGCATGTTATATAATATACGTCTCAAGGTTTGCAATTGTATATTAAAATTCACTACAGTAACATTAGTGTCAGTATAGTAACACGACTGTATTGGTAATACAACCATAATTGTAATTTAATCATATAGTAACATAAATGTTACTATATATTAACATTCATATTACTGAACTCTGTTGGCATTGTTTAGCATCCATATATTATGCATTATTGTTGTTAAGAAAATTTTGTAATATGATTTTAACTTAATAGACTAATAATTTATTCGTACATTAAGTTTTTCATATATAACTATCAGAATATATAACTTTCATATAAAACTTCTGCTGATTTTCATAATATTTAATAAACGGTTTCCATATATACCTTAATAATCTAACTTATGTGATTTTTTATAACTGGACAAAACTAGTACCGTTAGAAATAATTTTGAGATTTAAAAAATAAGTGATCTTAAATATCAAATAAGTTTTATTCCAAAATTCAAGTTATTATAAGTTTAGGAGGTTGACCCTTAATTTTCACAATTTTTATAATTTCTCTCCACCATCAACTCTATCCCTCCCCGCCCATGCCATCCCAGCCCACCCATGCCATCCCAGCCCAGCCCATTTCCACTTTCCAGCCAGACATTATTGAAAGTTTATCCATTAAAATCTAAAATTACTTTTTGAATTATTTTTTTAAGTAATTAACAAAGGCAGTTGTTATTCAGATGTAAGATGGTAAACAAAGATAATAATCAAAAAAAAGAAAAAACAAAGATAATGAAAGTGGTGACATAGGTTATATGAAATAGTTTAATCAGAGACAATAATTTAAATAATTTAAAATTTAAAAAATAATATTTTTTTAAAAAAAATTTACTTCTTAAAATTTCAAAATAATTAGTTAGCTCTGGTCCCTTGAGCCCTGCATGTCTTGTCAGATCTCCTAATCTGATCTCAACTCCTGAGTTCATACTTAGTTGAAATTCTTCTAGGTATCATCAAAGTTTGTTCATTTTGACAATGAAGAAAACTCAACATCTACGAGTGGTAGACGATGAATAATATATGAAGACGAGGATTTGACATGAGGTATGACTATAGATTTGTTCAATCTCACTATTCTGTATTGATTTTGACTTGATAAATGTTAGAAGAATTGGACAAGTTTAGTGGCTTGGTTGATGTAGATATAGGTTTTCAAGAATATAAGATCAAACACAAAACACAGAGAAATAATTTATCAAAATACAAGAATATTGCTATTTATTACTTATGTAATTTGGTAAATGTTGGTTGGAAAAAGATGTTCAAAGATTGTGAAAAAAAAAAGGAGTTTTGCATACTTGTGAATACTTGTGAAAGGCTATGAAAAAAAGTTTAGTTGTGTAATATAAATGTTCTCTCGGGATAGTCTTTTGAATTTCTGAATATCCTTCGTTTCAAAATCCTAATCCTAGGCCCCATTACAACCTTAAATAAAGTCCTATCTGATTTCAAGAGAGTATTGGTGGAAGCATGACTTGTGTGAATAAAGAAGAGAATGATGATTATTTTTATATTGTGTGTTAATTTCTTTTCATGAGACTATGTCAAATCCTTTTCTTTTGGATTACATTTTTTTTTTAATGGAACCTGTGAGCATTATTTTGTTTTGATTTAAATATTTTCTTCTCACATGTGATATTTAAATGAATAGTCTGAGAGAAATTTTATGAGTGAATTATCTAGTAAGATTTGACATTGAGACGAATAATTGATAGTTGTAGAGGTGATTACCGAATAAATTGTTAACTCAGTATAGTCAATTCACACTACACACGAGTTTATATGAGAACATAATAAGTGCATACATTTATATAGCATAGAATTCTATATTTTGCTTTGCAAGTACTTATAAAAAGGTTTGTAGCTTAGAATTTTTATATTGTGGTAGCAATTTGTGTTATAAAATTATTATTCAGATATTTGATCATAGGATGATATTTGTGGGTATTATCTCTAGAAACCTCACAAGACTATACTCGTCCACTAGGGGGAACCTAGGGGTTTAAAGGCTTGTTGCATATGCTAAATGCAATTGTGAGTCCTACAAAAGTGGATTTGTGTTTTATTTTATTAGGTTATGTTATTTTTAGTTTTTAGATTTTATAATCCATGTATTACTAGGGACTACTAATATTCAGGTTAGGGGGTTTGCATATTATTTGTGATTAAATGTGTTAAATTTCTTGATTTTTTAGTTTGATACTTTTTCTAGTTGTTTGGTTTATTTTGTAGGTAAATTGGTTGATTTAAAGTAATATTGGATAATACAAGTGAATCAATCACAAGAGGAAAAATCATAATTGATAAGGATTGAAGAGTCAAGATTGAAATAGGAAGACTTGAAGATATGCCAACAATTTAATCTTTATAAGAGTTCAAGTTGGAAGAAAACTTATTTAGAATTAGATTAGGAAAGTATCCTAGAAGATAAGGATTTGACACATTTTTAGTATTTTGGTCACAACTTTTGACTCCATTATCCGATTTACTTGATGTTTGGAGGTTAAACAGAAGACTTCAAGGGTTACAAAAGTATATTTCACGAACTTTTCGTGATTCAACCTCTAAATATGTGAAATTCAA